TGTCCTTCTCGGTGGGGAAAAAAACTCCAACTTTTGTGCCAGAGATTTCGCCAAAAATGTTAGGCCTGCCTGCAAAATGGCCTCCCTTTTCAGCTTGAGTTCGGTCAAGGCGCTACGGGTCTCCGCTAGGTGGTTCCATCAAAACAGCCAAGGAACAATTTTGGCCAGACTGTAAAGCACCGGTCGTCCTTGACTTACAACGGTCCGTTTAGTGACGGTTCGAAGTTACAACGGCGCTGCAAAAAGTGACTCTTCCGACCGTTTTCCACACGTATGACTGTTGCAGCACATGATCAAAATCCAGGCGCTTGGCAGCTGACTCGTATTTATGACGGTTGCAGCGTCCTGGGGCGGGGGTTTCACGTGATCCCCTTTTGCGAGCTTCTGACCAGCCAAGAAAAACGAGGGAAGCTGGATTCACTTAACAGCCGTGTGACTCGCTTAACAAATGCAATGATTCACTTAGCGGTGGCAGGAAAGGTCGTAAAATGGGGCAAAACCCGCTCATTAAATGTCTCGCTTAGCCACAGAAATTTTGGGCCCCATTTTGATCGTATGTCGAGGACTATATATTGGCTTTCGGTGCTAAAACCAGAACGAGCCAAGCTATAGTTTTCTCAAGGGGGGGGAAGTACTGGGGGGTTGTTCACTCATCCGGTTTTCTAAATACAGCCTCTTCCGCTCCAGCCTGTCTCTTGGGTGCCCGTTAGGAAAATGCCAATACGAAAGTTGAATCCGACTTTAAAATAAGGAAGTTGCAGCAAAACAAAAACAAAAGAACACACCACCCAATGGTGATTTTTCTCTCTGGGTCTGGCATGAAGCAGCCGGGCCGAGCCTAATTCTGAGGCATGATCTCTATGATCTCGGAGAAAGCCAGTCTGGGGAGGGGGGTGGCATGGGTTTGGCCATGAATGATTGGCACGTGATGGCGACCTCAGCGTAAGCCTGTCCTCGCTGTGGCTAATTCAGGAAGCGAATAGGAGGGCGTTATTGTAGGAAAAAGCCCTTGCCGGATTCTAGCGTGGGATGCGGAAGCAATGGGAACGTCGTGGTTCTGATAGATGAAACCGTTTAGACCAAGGGTCTTCAAACTTGGCCCTTTGATGACTTGTGGACTTCAACTCCCAGAATTCCTCAGTCAGCATGCTTAGCTGAGGAATTCTGGGAGTTGAAGTCCACAAGCAGGGTCTTCAAACTTGGCCCTTTGATGACTTGTGGACTTCAACTCCCAGAATTCCTCAACCAGGCACGTGTGCCAGGCTGAGGAATTCTGGGAGTTGAAATCCACAAGTCATCAAAGGGCCAAGTTTGAAGACCCCTGGGAGTTGAAGTCCACAAGTCATCAAAGGGCCAAGTTTGAAGACCCCTGGTTTAAAAGAACTTCAAGGCAAATATTTCTTCCTTAAAGAACACTTTATTTAGGACACAAGATATTGGCCCCTACAAAGGTGAACCCAAGACTAAAAAATTCCCTCCCCCTGGTTACACAATTACAAATTGCAATTCCCATCCCACTTTGCTGTCATAAATCCCGTTCGCCCGTTGTTACAAAATGGAGGGCTCTCCTCCCAGCTCTCCAACCCGCCAAAATGTTATCAGCAATGACCTTGATTCTCACACATTCGAATTGTTTTGGCTAACTGAGAAAACTACATCCCCCCCACCTCGCTTTCATCTAAATTCTCTAAACTAATATGTGGTAAACGAAGAGCAAATGGCTCTGGCTTCAGTTCGGTTTGTTGCGTGGTCGAGTTTATTTCTCTCCCCGTTTTTTTTTATTTTATTTTATGGTCTCTCTTTTATTATAAATGGGTTATTACGCTTCGGGATCCGGAAGGACAGAGGTCAACTAAAAGAGTGGGCTTCAGCCGGCAGAATCCCGCCCCCACAGACGGGGTTGACCAGGGGTCTTCAAACTTGGCCCTTTGATGACTTGTGGACTTCAACTCCCAGAATTCCTCAGCCAGCGTGCCTCCCAGCTCTTCCCCAGCATCTTAGGCGCTGTGTGGGAAGAGCCCTCTGCCAGGACTCCTTTAGCAGGCACAAACAATTAAGCGTAATTGCTCCGTGCAGCCTCACGCCTGTTTAGATAACACCTGTCCCTGTGCCAGGTGAGCACGCCCTCCCTGGTTAATTATTTCAGCAGACGGGGACCAGCCCAGCAGTCCCTGAGGCTCGCGGGCCTCAAGGACGCCAGGAATACGCACAGGGGAGACACCGCCTGAGCCAAGCCGAGACGGGCTCTTCCTCCGGGCTCCTTTGGGAACCGAGATGAACTTCCACTCCCAGCTGTGTTGAACGAGGATGTGTCTTTTGGCGAGGTTCCCCCATCGCGCCACCGCACGTTTGCGACTTACACAAACCACTCAGAAGGCCGCTCGGCTTACTCAGCAATCTGCAAGTTATCCCTTGGCCTGGCAGGGCGGGCGATCCCTTCGCTCCAGGGCTTGAGTAGGGGGGACCACCTGCCTAAGGCCGAGGATTTGGTACCCTGGTTGTCTGAATGAACACGGAGGAGCCCAGAGGGAGGCGCGTGGATTGTTTTTTGTGGTTGAATAGACATTTCAGGTCCCGTTGCAGACTTTCTATAACGAAGCAGCATGAACCACTTTACCAAGACAAAGTGGGCTTTTGAGCAGCAGCACAACTGCACTTTCTTCAGTCTCTATACGCAAACACACACACACACACACACATTGTGTAGGCTTCCTCCCAAAGAGGCCTTCACAAGGATGCCTCTGTGCAATGGGGAGGGAGGACCCAAAGATAGGAGACTGGGGAGGACCGGTTCTTCCCTCTTTGCAGAGGCGCCAAGGGGAAGATGGCGGGACGGGCAGACGGAAATTGGGCAAAAATGCCCAGGGCTGGGGAGGAGATGCCTTCGCATGGGGCCATTGGCCCAGAAGATGGTGGAGGGATGAAGAGAATCTTTGTTTAGGAGAAAAACAGATACAGTTTTTATTGCGTTTTATTTTCAAATACAAGTATTTGAAAAAATTAAAGATAAAAAACAAGATAAAAGTGAGGGAGAAAAGGGAACCGCTAATTAATTGCCCTCTTTATCTTTCCCCTCCCTGTTCAACGCTTTCTCCCCTAATGCATAAGTCTTTTTTCTCATGAATGAAGGCAAATATACGTGTCCCAGGATAATGATACTTAGAAGAAGAAGAACTTTATTGCCACTTTGAACGGACACTAATCGGCACACATTAAAATGAAATTTCGTTGCATTCAGTTCTCAAAAGGTCACCATCTCCGATGTACTTCTTCTTTTTCTTGTGCCATATCCGTTACCAGACGTTGGTGGTCGTGTTGGCGATCCTGTTTTTATCAACAGCCACACAAAAAAGTGCTGCTGAGTTTTGTCCAAACCGGTCCCTTAGATTTTGAAGCCACGATGTTCTTCTTCTGCCTGGACCTCATTTGCCTTCAGTCTTTCCCTGGAGGATTAAATGGAGTATGCCGTATTTATGTAATGTACATCAGAGGTTTTGTAATGGCGGCAAAACCTCCCATGTACACTACATAAATATGACAAAAATAAATAAATACAGAAGGATGCACTCTTTCTGAAAGCTTGGAAGAGTAAAATCTCTGGTCACGGTGACCGATCCAAATGCGATTTTGCGTCTTTTTTCTCCTCTCTGCAAAAAGTCCATATAAGTCTTTTTAAAAAATTGTCCTATTGTTTTTTTTTTCCCCTCCAGCCAGCAGTGGATAATAGCGCTGGTTTCTTTTTCCCCAATACCAATATCTGTTCAAGCTGAAATAGGAAAAGGGTTTAAAAATAAACACATTGCAGGCTGATGCCATTGGACCCATGCCGTGGTCATTTCAATCGGTGTTTCTCCACCTCTACCTCTTTAAGACGGAATGGACTTCGACTCCCAGAATCCCCCAGCCTGCAAAGAGTTCTTTTAACCTCTGGGAGTTGAAGTCCTTCTTAAAGCGGCAGAGATGGGGAGACAATGGCTGGTGGGTGCTTCCTGGCTCAACCTGGCAAAGAAACCTGATCCATTCTCAAAGCTTGGCATCACCAGGCTCAGCTGGGCAAAGCACCCCTTCCCCCCAAAAAAACCCTCTGGGCTCTTTTTTTTCCAGGGAGTATTCCCCCCCCCCCAATAAGAACTAGCCCTTCCAGCCAATTGGCCCACAGCAGCATGCTGGGAAATGTAGTTCAGCCCCATGAAGACGACTACAAATCTTCCAGCTGATTGTCAACCCCAGGGGTCTTCAAACTTGGCCCTTTTAGGACTTCAACTCCCAGAATTCCTCAGCCAGCATGGGGGAACTATGGGCCCTTCATGACTGGGGGACTTCAACTCCCAGAATTCCTCAGCCAGCGTTGTTGGCTGAGGAATTCTGGGAGTTGAAGTCCACAAGTCATCAAAGGGCCGACTTTGAAGACCCCTAGTCAACCCCGTCTGGGGGGGATTCTGGCAGCTGAAGCCCATTCTTTTTAGTTGACCTCTGTCCTTCCGGATCCCCAAGCGTAATAAGCCATTTATAATAAAAGAGAGACCATAAAATAAAATTAAAAAAAAAACAGGGAGAGAGAAATAAACTCGACAACGCGATCTCGCTTTATTCTGTCACCCATTCCCTCCCCTCCCCCGGCGTTTAACTCTAGATGGACCGGTCCCACCGGCCCGGGCATGCGCGCTGGAGAGAATTAAAGTGGACCACACGATCTGGCTTTCTTCTCTCTCTCTTCTCTTCCTCCACCATTCCCCTGCGTCCAACTGGAGATGGACCGGTCGTGCCGGGCCGGGCATGCGCGCTAGCTCGCGGCGCACGTGCGGGCGGGCTGGAGGGGGCGTGTCCGCGAGGGCGAGAGGGCGTGTCGCGCCCGCCCCCCGAAGCGGCGTCGGCCGGTCCCGCGCGAGTGCGCCTCATTCGCCGGCGGCCGGGCGGGTGGGCGGGTGCGCGAGTGAGCTCTGCGGAGGCTGCGCGCGCAGATGGGCGGTCGGTGAGGGCAGCGGCCGAGGGGAGCCGAGATGATGCTGGGCGAGGCGGCGGCCCTGGCGGCCCTGGGCGAGGAGCCTCCCCCGGCGGCGGCCTCGGCGCTGCGGAGCGAGCTGGGCTCGCACCTGCACCTGCTGAAGGGGCTGAACGTGCGCTTCCGCTGCTTCCTGGCCAAGGTGCACGAGCTGGAGCGCCGCAACCGCCTGCTGGAGAAGCAGCTGCAGGCCGCGCAGCTGGGCGAGCGCGAGCGCCGCCTCCGCTACCGCCGCTTCCCCCGGCACCAGGCCGTGCAGACCGACCCCGAGCCGCCCCTCGGCCCGGCCGCCGCCGCCCCTTCCCCGGCCGCCGCTTCCGCCGCCGCCGCCTCCTCGCCCTACGGCCGCCTGCCCGGCACCATCTGGAGCTACCGGCAGGTGCGGCGGACGGGCGGCGGCGGGCTGGAGACCCTGCAGGGCCCCGGCGTGTCGTGGGTGCACCCGGACGGCGTGGGCGTCCAGATCGACACCATCACGCCCGAGATCCGCGCCCTCTACAACGTCCTGGCCAAAGTCAAGCGCGAGAGGGACGACTACAAGGGCAGGTGGGTCGCCGCGGGGCCTCCTTTCCCACGGGGAGGGGGTAGGGGTGGGGGTGGGGCTCGCGTCTATCCTCCTGGCGGGAGGGGGGGATCGCCGCTTGGCCTCCTTTCCTGAGGTGGGAGGGGGGAGGAAGAGAGCCTGGGTTCCATTAAGTCAGAGATCGCTGCTTGGCCTCCTTTCCTGCCCTAGATGGGGGGGAAGAGACCCTCCTTTCCTGCCTGGCAAGAGATGGTGTGTGTGTGTGGGGGGGTCCCCAATCAGACAACCTGGGCTGCTCTTTCAGGCTCAAGGATCGCTGCTTGGCCTCCTTTCCTGGGTCGGAGGAGGAAAGGAAAGGGAGCCCCTCCTTTCCTGGGTGGCAAAAGATGAGAGGGGAGCCCCTGATCTGGCATCCTTAGGTATAATAGGTAGATAGTCCCCAGGATCAGGGATCGCTGCTTGGCCTCCTTTCCTGTGCTGGGGGTTAGGAAGGAAAGGAGCCAAATGTCCATAAGCCCTCCTAGAGATGAATGAGCCCCCCTGCAAGGCCCTGAGAGTGTAGCGGATGAAGCAGGGATGGTCTCAGATGGAATTTTTTGGGGGGGTTGGGGCTTTTGGGGGGCAGCGACAGGGCTGGCCTGGTTTCCCCCTCCCCCCCACCCCATCCCTGGAATGCACGAGGGGCTGAAGGCCGAGCCTGGCCCCTCTGTGGCCTTGGCTTCTCTGCTGATAAGATAGTGGGGAGTGGGCAAGGCCAGGCAGGAACATCTGACTGCCTCTTCCCAGGCCCAGGAGGGGAGGGAGGCTGGGGGGGGCGGGGGAGGGGGCTTCTTGCTTCTCTCGGGAGGAGGGAAGGAAGGCCGAGGACCACTTGCTGGCCAGAAGCTGAAAATGGGGAGCGGGGGGGGGGGAAGGAGAAGGGGCTTCCAGGCAGAAAAAAGGCCTGCAAGGGGCCCCTCCCTGCAGCACCAGGCCCAGGGGGGCTTCTGGGGAGACAGGCCGGAGTGGACTCAGAACGGCTGGGGGGGGAAGAAGAGGAGAGGCCTGCCCCCCTTTTGTGTATCAAGGGGGTGTGAACCCCCTTCCCTTTTCTCTGAGCTGGCTTCCCCCCACAAAAAAAGAGGGGCTGGGAAGAGAGAGGAGTGAGGGGGCTGAGAGGGAAGATTTTGTGGGAGGCACTGCAGTGAGAATTGGAGGAACCCAGTAAATGGGAGAGGAATTAACGGGGAGCCCCTCTTCCTGTGGGCCTGGGGGGAGAACCCCCCCCCCCTGCTTCCCAGGGCTGAGTTTGCTGCAAAGGGTGGGAGGATAAAGCCAGGCATTCCAGAGACATCTGCTTTCCTGCTTGGAGCCTTCGGCTGCGGAGCGCCTGCCTGCCTGGATTTCTCTTAGTCAGTCCTGCTTTTTGGCATCTGAGCTCAGTGGTGCAGCATTTGGATGGGGAGCACCGCGGGGGGGGGGGGGAAGGTGGCATCTATGCCAGCCGGCCTCAGGGGCAGGCCGGCTCCTCTCTCCTTGCCCATCCTCCTCCTGCACGGAAGAGGAGCACGTCTGCGCCCCTTTCGCTCTTCTTCTTCTTCTTCTTCTTCTTCTTCTTCTTCTTCTTCTTCTTCTTCTCCTCCTTCTTCCTTCTTCCTTCTTCCTTCTACTTCTTCTTCTCCTTCTTCTTCTTCTTCTTCTTCTTCTTCTTCTTCTTCTTCTTCTTCTTCTTCTTCTTCTTCTCCTTCTCCTTCTCCTTCTCCTTCTCCTTCTCCTTCTCCTTCTCCTTCTCCTTCTCCTCCTCCTCCTCCTTCTCCTTCTCCTTCTCCTTCTCCTTCTCCTCCTCCTCCTCCTCCTCCTCCTTCTCCTTCTCCTTCTCCTTCTCCTTCTCCTTCTTCTCTGGTGCACGCCTGTGCGTCTTGTGTGCAGGAAGACCCCCCCCCCCCAGCTCTGCCTGGCTGGCATTCTCAACTCACTGACGTATGGGAGTCAGCCTTTGTTGAAAATAAGACTTCCGCCCGAACGTTTCCTCCCCCCACCCCCCAAGCCTTTGAAATCTGGCCATGTTTCCTACCCTGCTTTGTGTCAGGCCGGAGGAGTGTGTGATTCTCCTCCTAAAACAAAAACTGGGATTCTATAAATATAACGTCTGGGCCATGAACCTCTCGGCTGCCCTTTCTCGCACATCCAGAAAACCGCTTCTTTCCCTCTGACTCACTCGGTTTCTCGCTCTTCTTATTCAGCTGGTGGTCATTGTGTGGGTTAAAGAGCCAGGGCCTGGGCTGCACCAAACATGGGGGGAGGGGGCTAGGAGGGGCTTTATACCTATCTGTAGCCACAGCTTGGGGGGGGAGGGTTCTTCTCATTCAGGTAAGGCAAAACTTGGACCTACAGGGACAGCTTCTACGATTTCTGAATGATATCCTGGCTCTTCCTCCCTCTGCTGGAGCCAAGCCTGATCTCTGAGGGGTCTTTCCCCCCTGCTCCAGACTCCTCTCTCAGTCTGGATTTCTGTTCCACCATAGCCACACGCTAATGATGGTCGATCTTTTCCCAGCCTATTATTGAATCTGGAGTGCAATTAGGCTGCATTCATGGAGAGTCGGTGTAAGTGCCGTGTGAGGCCCCGTCTCTGTCTCTGTAGGCATCTCCGGTGTAGCCCTGCAGGGACCTGAACCCACTCCTCCTCTTAGTGCCTCCAGGCACGCCTGAGCCTGGGGGAGGGGGTTCTCCAGACAAAAGGCCTGCCTCCCACCATCTGTTACTTCTTGTGTAAGGTCACTGCCCCAGCAGCAACTCCCAGCATCTTCCTTTGAGAGCATGTCAGCAGCAAGGGCCAGCTTAATGTCACAGGGCAATAGGACAGCTAACCCTGAGTCCCTAGGGGGGGGGGGAAACACCTTTGACCATGAGGCCTCCTCCTCCTCCTCTTCCTCTTCCAGTGCTCATCTCCAGTCAAGAATCTCATTCAACCACGTGTTCTTTTTTCTCTCCACCTTTGCTTCAATAGAAATTAGCTCTTGATCAGATTTCTCGTTTTTCTGTGACTGCTTTTGATCCAAAGCTTGCACACCTATCGAGGACAATGTGTGTGTGAGTGTGTGTGGTTGGATCCTCCCATTTTGGGGTGCTGGATAAATCTCATAATAAGATCTTGGGGTGCAATTTGTTTTGGGTGGTTCTAGTCCAGTGATGGCGAACCTTTTAGAGACCGAGTGCCCAAACTGCAACCCAAAACCCAAAATTATGCATCGTCGGGTGCCAGGTGGGCGTGGCCCATTGGCTGGGCGTGGCTGCGGTGGTAACGGCAGACTGGGTGGGACTAAAAAGTTCAATCAATCAATTCCAACTTTGCAAGATCTTTCCCCCCCCCCCAGAAGTTGAAATTGACTGATTGATTGAACTTTTTTTTTTTTGCACATGGTGGGAGAGGCCTAAAGCAAAAAGGTTTTATAAAACCCAGCTGAAGACCTAGGACTGGGGCGACAACGCGCGTGCCCACAGAGAGGGCTCTGAGTGTCGCCTCTGGCACCCGTGCCATTGGTTCGCCACCACGGTTCTAGTCTCTTGTTAGTTTCAACCTCTTATAAGGGTTCCAGTTTCTCCTTTTTGAGGAAGTTTCTTGTTCTTCCCAAAAGCCAGAGGCACCGTCCTTCATTTGGGAGCTTTGTCTCCAGCCGTTGAGTGAATTAATGTGTTGTGATTCCCAAATTCTCTTAATTGGTTGAGTGTTTATCAAACAGACGGGTGTTCGGTGTTGAGGAGCTAACTTGTTAATCATCATTGAGCTGGAAATAATTGCTTGTCCCCAGGTTGTGCTTTGATTTTTTGGCAGATTAATAAAGTCCAGTTGAAGCAGGGCTTGTTCCAAATTTGGTGCAGCTGGAGAGAAGCTATTTATTGGCTGCTGAAGGGGGAGAAGCATGACAAAACTAACAAGCCCTTGTTTTTCCACGATAAGGATCTTAATAAAAAATGCCCTTAAAAGCAATCTCTGAAGAATGTCTGAATCCACTTTTAAGCTAAAATATCAGTGTAACGAGATTCAAATGTTACACCAGCAGAGACCAATAAAAATAAATCATTTTCGACACGGGAAGAAAACTCAGCAAAGTTAGAACTTCCTGACCTGTATCCGGCGGAGGTACTGGCTGGTCTTTCTTCTGAGTGCCTGCATTGTATTTATAATGCAATCTGGCGTGTATTAGGCAGTCAGTATATTTTAAGAATTAAACACTGTCTGCAAGCCCCCAGATTTTGACTTACCTCGCCTTGTAAAATGAAAGCAGTCCGAAAACTTTTTTCAAAAATAACACTGCTGGCGGGAAAAGCCGTTTGATGTTGCTGAAACTGAATAAAACAGAATCAGCTCTTCCTGTTTGAAAATGTGGAAGTACATTCGGACTCGTATTAAGACAATAACGTGCAGTGGTGGATTTTTTTCCCTGAAATAACCAGAAGGGCAAATTAATAGCAATCCTCCCTGGCAGTTTTTTCTTTCTTTTTCTCATTATGCATGAGATATGTTTCATCGCAAGCCTTATCAGAGTCATAAAAAAAGGGACTTGCCCCAATAGAATGGAGCATAAGTTGCCAAAAAAAACGAAACAAACACTTCCGGTGGTGAATCAGTTCCCGATTACGCCTTGACTCCGCTCCAGGGGTGCTCTGATCTTTGAGGATACTAAAGACTTGATTTGATTGAATGAATGAAGGCTCCAGGGATAGTCCACGACTAATTCCTACTTTTTAAAACTTCTGTGCCCTTCTTATTTTCCTGCTAAGGCTTCTTGGCTAATCCTCCAGTTTTGCACGAGGGAGAAGGTTTCTCCCGCACGGCCTTCAATAACAGGGACTGATCTGTTTAAAGAAGGCAGCTTAGAGAGAGTTCCTTCCTTCCCTCGGATGAAGGGAGCTGGCTGCTTTTTCCGTAAGACCCGTGAGTCACAAAAGGTGCTGCCAGGCTGGTCCGGGCTGGCTTTGGTCTCCTCCCATAAGATCCCATCTTTGCTAGCCTTCTTGGGCTTATCTCCAGGTAGGCAGGCAGGCAGGCAGGATGTCATCAGCAGGAGGAAAACAATTGCTAAAAAGGGGAAAGGTTATTCCAGATAAGCTCAGAGGTGTTCGCCAGGTATCTGGGGAAGATTGCAGGGGTTAGCCCAGAACACCCAGGTAGATAAGACAAGGAGCCATAAAGCTCACAAAAGCAGCACGCCAAGGCAGCGGACTTGGGAAGGGCAGGCTAAGTTCTGACACACACACACACACCCCCGACCTACCCATGGGCTGCTGGCTTTCAAGAATGGCCAGGCGCCCAGCGGGAGAAAGTTCGGTGGTGCATTTCTTGGGTGGGGACAGAAATAAGTGGAACCCTCCCTTAAGGCCCCAGCCTTCAACTGTTGCAATTCCCAGGTGGCGTGGCTTTTAGCTGCGTCGCTTGAAAATTTGGGGAGGTGGCCACTGAAGCCACGCAGAGAGCATTAGGCTGGGGATACCTAAGATACCGTAGGCCGCCTCGCCCAAAGGGGGTTTGATGAATGAAGGAAGCAGAATAACAAAATAAAGAGAGTTGGAAGAGACCTTGGGTCTTCTCGTCCCACCCCCCTGCTCAGGCAGGAGATAGCTCTATCACAGCCATACAAATGATTGTCCAGTCTCTTCTTGAAAACCTCCAGTGTTGGATCACCCACAACCTCTGGAGGCGAGAGCGGTTCCATTGACTCGGAAGGGAATGAAGGGATTAATTCATTGGAAGCCCCAAGTTGCCCAGAGGAGTGAATGCGAGGCAGTCCGGTACAATTTGTGACAGGCCTGTTGTATGTTTTGGCCGTGACTCTCTCGTAAGGAGCTCTTGTTTGTTTTGTTTCGAAGGCAGAGCCAGCCAAGCTCTGATTGTGTCAGTAGATCACAGGGCAAGTGGGAGCTAGGGAGAAGATATTTCTGGCTCTTTATGGCTCTTTAATGATAGGCCAGAGTAGCTGGAGACTGCGGTGCAAGCAAGCGCTGGACTGCTTGCTGGACGGTCTGTGGCTCAAGGAAGCAGGAGCTGATGCAGCTTTGGCCAGGGCCCTTCCTTCCAGCATTCCTGTGTTTTTCATATTTCCAGCATGAGTCCCAAGGCATTCGGGAGCGAGAAGAAGATCTCCATTGCATCGTCCTCGTTCTGCAGGGGGGGGGGCAGCCAGCTTAGGGAAGGAGGATGTTTGCCTCTGGCTGGTTCAGTGGGCCTCTTGAAACTTTTAATCTAAATTTGCGAATGGTCTAGACCAGGGGTAGGCAACGTTGGCTCTTTTATGACTCGTGGACTTCAACTCCCAGAATTCCTCAGCCAGCATGGCTCAGCTTGGAAACCTCTCCCTTTCCCCGCAGCATGGCTGGCTCAGGAATTCTGGGAGTTGAAGTCCACGAGTCATAAAAGAGCCAACGTTGCCTACCCCTGGTCTAGAACCTTCAGATAAATCTTTCCCAGGTCACCAGAAAAGACCACAACTGTTGTTCCTTCAGGAGCTGTTTTGGATCCGAAGCGAGGGCTGGTAACTGGCAAGCGTCCATCTTGGATGTTTTTGTCACTATGCCATCTTGGTTATTATTATTTTTCTAGTTAAAATGCGTGGGAATCTCACCTCTGCGCCTCCCCCCCTCCTGGAGAGAGGGAGGGAAAGAAATTAATTTGGTCCAGCCAGCCTCTTCCCGACAGTCTCAGTCTTGGCCCTTTACCTCCACCAACTGGGGCAGCTGAGAGAATGGGGCCCCCGTCTCCATTAAGGCTTATTCATCAAGATCCGCCCTCCCGGTTGTCCTATTGCGTGAACCTCGGTCAGCGGTGGCTTGTTCTGCCTGGCGTGGCCTGGCCTGGCACCCCACAAATGAGAAACATTTGCCCATCCGCAGCAGCTCTGATCCTACACTTGAGCCACTCCTGCCTGGAACCCAGAGGCAAGTCACAGTTTCTCAGCTGGGTTGATTTCTTTGAAAATCTGTGTGCCGGCTCAGCTCGGGCATCCAGATCCTCTTGGATGGCCGCCAGGGTGACCTGTTCCCTCCTGTCCAGCTTCTCTCGCCCTTAGGAGAGGCCGAGCACGTACAGCCACGCTCTGCCCGGGATCTCTTCAGCATCCACTGAAGCTTTGCGGCTCTCCTGACGAGTTAAAATCTGAAACCAGGCTGGGATTCAGAGTCTGACTTATTAGACCAGCCGAACTGGTTAGGGTGCGATGCTCACGCAGCCACCCTTTGGCCACCTTTCTCTGGAAGGAGGCAGGTGTGTCCTGGCCTGATTTACTAGCCAGGTGCCTTTTTCACACGCTCTGGCTGGCAGGAGAGTGTTTGGAAGAGGATGGAGAGATACAGCCTCGCAGCTTGTGGGCGGATGTCACCCTGAGGTCCAGGCAGTGAGGTGGCGGGTGTCTGCAGCCGTTGTACCTTTGCGTGTCTCCAGCCGTTGTACCTTTGCGTGTCAATAGGGAGCATCCCACCTCGGGTGTTTTTCCAGCCCTTAAATGCTCCTTGGGTTTCGGCAGAAGCCATTAAACAGCCCCCCCCCGTGCTTGCTTGACAGATGGGACGCCAACCACCAGCATTGGGGTTCTTGTGAGCGGTCCGCGTGTTTGCAATTTTGTGCCGGGTGTGCGGCCAAGGACTGGTGCTGCAGGCGGCCTGGGAGAGGACAAATAGGGGAGGGGGAGACCTGTGGGGCTACTGCCTTGCTTGGGGGGACATCTAGGGCATTGAAAGTGGCATCTGCTCCTGTGCCAAAGCAGTGAAAATGCCACAAAATTGTGCGGTTATTTTGACCATCTTATAGACGCAGGGGTCCTCAACCGTGGCAACTTTAAGACTTGTGGACTTCAACTCCCAGAATTCCTCAGCCAGCAAAGCTGGCTGAGGAATTCTGGGAGTTGAAGTCCACAAGTCTTAAAGTTGTCAAGGTTGAGGACCCCTGTTATAGAGTCTCTGGTCTGAATTTTTCAGCCATGCGCATTCTGCTTACGGTTACGCACAAGAGAAACCAGCGTTGGTGCTAGATTGTTGTGACTCTTGGTCTTGGTTTAGCTGACCGAATGAATGCCCGGTTGGCAGCCTGGGGGGGGGCTGCCCTGTGCCCCCCTTTTGCCTTTGCTCCTTAAGATCCCCAGCTGGCAGCCCGCCCAGCCTGCTTTCCACAGCCTGCTTCCAGCGTGTGCTGAAATCTCGCTTAAAATTCAGCCGAGTATTAATGTAATGCAGCTAGTCTGACAGGTAAGCTTACAAGGTGGTGAGATAGATATTGCTTAGGCAAGGAGGAAGGGAAGGGAAAAAAAAACACACACAAGCTCTCTGAAACACGAGTCCTGTATTTAATTATCTTGCACCCCGGAGCTCTTTTCAGCAAGCTTAATCCTCTGCTCTTCAGATTGCCAGAATAATTACCGCTTTCAAAAGGCAGCCCGGAAAAAAACTCTTGATTTTTTTTATTTTTTTTTTACCTCCAGTTATAATAACGACAGCAGCGCGAGAGAAAGCAAAAGAATGGCTTTTTTTTGCCACAGATGTTTCATAAGCTTTGCTGCTAATTGTTTTTCCAGGAGGACTCAGATCATAGGAAAGGAGTTAACATTATTCTCTTTGCTACGGGATATTTTGGGTTAGGGGTATTTTTTTTTTTTAAAAAAAAAAACACAACGGCTGCACAAATAGGCTGCGAAAGGGAGAGCTTGTTGCAAAAGTCGAACTGGTTCTGGACAGACAGGCTGCCTATCGCTCTGGATCTGAGTTTGCCAAAGGGGTAACTGAGGAAATCTGGCACCAGGCCCCAACAACTCTTAATATTTTCCCCTAGAAAGAGGCGTAAAGGGGTTGGGGTTAGGGCAGGGGTCTTCAAACCTGGCCCTTTTATGACTTGTGGACTTCAACTCCCAGAATTCCTCAGCCAGGCACGCCTGGTTGAGGAATTGTCCACAAGTCATAAAAGGGCCAGGTTTGAAGACCCCTGGGTTAGGGGGAAGCTGGGTTGTGGAATCTTGAGGGTCCCCCATCCATGCACTGAGCAGGTCCAACCTCAACAGGGGTCCTTGAGGTCTGCCCACAGCTGGTGGGATGCAAACTCCATTCTTGCCTGTTAAGTGTACTTCTCATCTTTTCACTTATATCAGGGGTCTTCAAACTCGGCCCTTTTTATGACTTGTGGACTTCAACGCCCAGAATTCCTCAGCCACGTGCATGCTGGCTGAGGAATTCTGGGAGTTGAAGTCCACAAGTCATAAAAAGGGCCACGTTTGAAGACCCCCTGGCTTATATTTTAGCTGCAGGTTGGGTTTGCGTTTGTAAGCAGTTTTATGACCCACGTTGGGAAGAGCATATATACAAAAGGATGCCCTTTTTTTTTTTTTTAGAAGGGCCGAGAAATAAAACGGCCCATCTCATTTATTGGCGCTTTAAATAGCTAAACAACAACGTCGCTGCATGCTGGAAGACTTTCTTGATGTACAGTTGAGAAGGTAACCGGCAGCTTCCCCGTGTTTAGGCCTAATTGAAATTGGACATAATGAGTCTTCCAACGCTTTCCCCAGCCCTTTCTTGGGGAATCCATCTGATCCTGATTTATGCTTGCCGACTCTCCCAATTGTGGCAGACCAGCCTTTGCGCCAGGAGCAGTTCCGTGCGGCCGGATGTGGCTTTGAATCCTTCCACGAGGCAAGAGGCAAGCGTCGGCTTTGAGAGCGGTGGGTGGCTTCCAAATTTGGGTTTTGCTCTGCCGGATCTGGAGCTCTGCGCTTGGCTGATGGGGGCTTTTCCCCTGCAGGGGCTCTTCCCACCAGAGGACCCCTCCCTCCATGAAGGTCAGCCACCCCTCGGCCAAGGGTAGGGGCAGCGTTCTCTCGGCTGGGCCTTCTGCCTCTCGGACAGGCCTGGTGCTACGAGTCCTGTAGGATGCGGATTCCAAGGAAATCCCCCTCAAATGAACGGGTCACAGAGGCATGGACCACTGGCACCGGGTGCGGGACACGCCAGGCGATCCACAGCTGGTTTGCAACCCTTGCACTTTATTTCAGGGCAGTTTCTTTGCCTTGAGGAATGAGATCTTTGCTGCAAATGGAAGTGCCAGCATCTTTCTCCACTGTCAGCAAAAACTTTCTCTCTCTCTCTCTCCCTTTCTCCCTTTCTCTCTCTCTCTCTCTTTTTCTCTCTCTCTCTTTCTCTCTCTCTCTCTCTCTCCTCTCTCTCTTTCTCCCTCTCTCTCGCCCTCTCTCTTTCCCTCCCTCTCTCCCTTTCTCTCTCTCTCTTTCTCTCTCTTTCTCTCTCTTTCTCTCTCTCTCTCTCTCTCTCCCTCTTTCTCTCCCTTTCTCTCTCCCCCTCTCTCCCTCTCTTTCTCTTTCTCTCTCTCTCCCCCTCTCTCCCTCTCTCTCTCTCTTGCTCTCGTCCTGTCCGTGGGGCATCCAGCCAAAGCCACAGCCCGCGCATTCCTCGGGTTTCTTCGAGCTAAGCGCGGAGGTGTGAGTTGCCACTAAGTCTGGGGCCGAGACAGACCTCACCCCGCCTGCCAGGCTGGGCTCAGCCTGCCCAGGAGCTGCTGGTTACTGACCTGCACATTCCACAGCCCTGAGATCTCCTGCTAACTTCCACCTTTCCCCTTTGGCTCACCAAACAGAATGGAAAGCACACACAAACACACACACACACACACAGCACCCCAGCCTGGTAATGCCACGGCACTGGCAGACTGAAAAGAAAGGGCTGTCCAGGGGCTTAGATTGGGCTCGCTCCCCAAAGAAGGCCGGGCTTCTCTGCCCAGGGCCACGGGAACACCCTGCCCAGGTGTAAGGAGCGCCCACGTGCCAGGAAGGAAGAGCCTGGAATCGCGCCTCCCCCACTTTGCTCCCTGGGGAGGGCTGGGAAAGACCCCCTCCAGAAGCCCCCGAGAGCCGTTTGGGCAGAGGAGGCCTCGGACAGGGAGCTCCGGACTGCTTCGCTGGGGGAGGCGTTGGCGCACGCGCCAGGATGTAATAGATCCGGCGGTTCCCATTAAGATTAAAGCCTTTTGCAGGGCGCTCTTCAGGAACCATTTAATTTTCTGTTTTAATCAGAGCCCTGAGCTCCGGGGGGGGGGGGACTGGAGCGCCTGGTCTGTAAGCCTCCGCTGGGAGGAGAGGCTGGGAAAGCGGGCAGCTCTTCCGCCAGCCTGCCACACAACCTACGCACGCGACACAAACACGGGCACAGTCGAGCCTGCAGTGCCTCAGTTTCTCTGGGAAACGGTGCAAAAGTGTGGCTGATGGGTTTTCTCAAGCTGCAGCATTTGGGCAAGTCGGCTCTTCACCCAGCCAGCCGTATTCCCCTCTGCAGCAGAGCAGGGAGAAGAAGGACTTGCTAATTCATGGCTAATTCATGGCTTCGTGTGTTGAAGGAGAGAGTCCTGGTGCTGTGGGAACAGGGGCTGTAAGATGTGTTTACATTTGTCTCCCCCCCCCCTCCTCCTCCTCCTCCTCCTGTGAGGTGAACTGCGAGACTTGCCCAGTCTTGTGCCCATTTGATTGGCATAGATGTGGTAGAACAAGAGGCTTTCGCCTCTTCAACGTCAGAGTCTCTCTCCCCATCCCTCCCTCCCTCTCCTTCCCTCTCTCTCTCCCTCCCCCTCTCCCTCCCTCCCTCCTTCCTCTCCTTCTCCCTCTCTTTCCCTCCCTCCCTTTCCCTCTCTCTCCTTCCCTCTCTCCCTCTCTCCTTTCTTCTCTCCCTCTCTCCTCTCTCCTCTCTGTTTCCCTCCCTCCCTTTCTCTCCCTCCTTCTCTCCCTTCCTCTTCATCTCTCTTTCTCTCCCCCTCTCCCTCCTCTCTATCCATCTCCCTCTCTCTCCCTCCCTCTCTCTCTTCAGGTGCCCTCAACAATTTGTGGAACCATCATGTCATCCGGTCACTTCCAGCCACACTCATAAGGCTTAAAAGACTATAAAGCAGAGTTCTCCCAACCTTTTGGGCTTTGCAGACTTGAGGTGGGGGTGGGGAGTGGAGAGGATGGTTCCACGCAAGCAGTGGGCAAGCACATGTGTGCAGCTCCATTTGCGCGAGCGGTGGGCGTCACGCAAATGGAGCTGCACGTATTCACCCGCTGCTCTTGCAAGTGGGGATGTGTGCGTGCGCTCACCCACCACTTCCGCGGCCCAGTTCCAGACGGCTCAAGGCCTGGTGATGGACCCCTGATCTAAAGTCATGGGTTTTTTGGGGGGGGGGGAACAGGGACATTTTGTTAAATTCTTGACCTCCTGGTACTCAGGATCCAGCTGTTATCCTATCCCAGTTATTTCCTGAAGCGCCTGGTGGGACCCCACCTGTTTGAGGGGTGGGTATCATTTTGCCGGCTGTGGGAAAGGGCCCTCCGAGGTGAAGTTTTGTTTCAAGCCGGTCCTCTGTTCTGTAAGTGAAATAACAAATGCTTGGCTCATTGATCGCTGGGCTATTCTTAACACCGTTTTGATTTTGCAATAACAACTGTAGTTATTTTAGCTCTTTAAAACAGGTTGGTTTTTTTTCTTTGTTTGTTTTTACAGACATGGGCTGCCTTTCAAAAGGCCGCTTTCCCAGGGTGGGCTTCGACAGCCCCCCCCTTCCCCCAAATTCTGAATGTCCCCTAAACTCCAGGGGGGGCTGCCAGGTAAAAGAACGCCTGTGCCGTGCCCTACCCTCCGTGGGGGCGGATAGCGATGGGACGGGGCCACCTACGGAGGGGGGGGGGGGCTGCCGTGAGGAATCGGAAGGGAACCGGTGCTGAGTTCGAGCACGTGGGGCAAGGCGGCCGCCTTTGCAAAACGCCTGGGCTGCTCAGCTGGGGCGGGCGGGTCTTGGGCAAGCCAGGAAGCGGAGGCCCATGACGAGCAGCGGTGGTGGCAGCCACACGTGTCTCCGGTCTGTGAGTGGCACGGGGCCACCGCCCTGCTGCACCCGGGCCTCTGGGCTCCCTCTCCTGTCATCTCGGCCGGTGGGGCTGGTGACAGAAGAGGGCTGGGCCGTCCCTCCCAAGCCATGAGCAAAGCTGGGTGTGACACTGCGCAGGCCGGCCTGACGTCAGCCGCTTCCTCGCGGATTTTGAACCCGTTGCCCCCCCCCCAGGGAAGGGGCTCCTGTTGGGGTGGGCTCTACAGGGTGGGCAGGGGTCCCTGCTGAGCAATAGCACGCCTTCGTTTGCAGGGGAGGTGTCTTTGGGAATTGCTGGATCCAGGACGGAGAGCTTGCCAAGGGAGGGGTGCCAGCCCCCTTGGTGACCCAGTGCTGTTGCCAGAGAGCCCCTCCTCCTCTGCCCTGGGGGGGCACTTTTCCCCGCCCCCCCCAGCAGACCTGCTGGTTCTCCAGGTTGGGCTCCCCAGTTCCTATCCAGTATTTCTTTGGAAGAGCATAACAGCAAAGCTGTTAGAAGAAGAAGAAGACGGGGTGTGGGCACCTCACCAAGCCTGTTGCCAGCTTGGGCTGGGGGGCAGGCAGGCAGGCAGGCAGGCAGGAAGGAATTCGCCCCCCTCCCTCCAGCTGAGATGACCTAATTTGGGGATCTATCTTGGAAAAGTTCCCTTTTGCAACCTGGAAAGGACACGTTGCAATTCCCGGCGGAATTCCTCCCCTCCTGCGTCCTTTGTTTAAATACTTTTGGCTCTGCTCGGCCTCTCTTCGCCCAGCCGCACAGCTCCTGGCGCTGGAAGGAGCCCGGGGAGGCTGCGCTGACGGGGTCTCTCTGGCCCGGCCCGGCGATTCCCAGGAACGCTGGACAGGCAGCAGGGGAACCAGCCGGGCCCTCTCCCGCGCCTGGCTATCCC